CACAGCCACGTAACGTTGGTAGTGAAGACATGCCCCTAGTAGCATCACAGATACCTCCCAGGACGACTCTCAGGAAGGAGAGAGATTAGTATCTTCATCCGATGAAGTGAGCTGTAGCTCACGAAAGCTTATGCTCAAATAAATTTGTTAGTCTCTAAGGTGCCACAAGTACTCCTTTTCTTTTTGTGGATACAGACTAACACGGCTGCTACTCTGAAACCTTCACAGTCTTGTTTCTTCTTAACGGCCCGTCAAGGCTGATGGCCTGTTGTCTGGTGGGTGTCCCCAGATACAAACCTAGTTGTAATGGTTACATAGCACACATTCCTAACTTTAGATACAGAAATGATACATGTATACAAATTGGATAATCACACTCAGCAAACCATAACCGTTCTAATGATATCTTACATGAGCCATTTTGCATGAAGTATATCTTAGTTATGCCATATTCATATCATAACCATATTTCTATGAAGAATGTGGGGTATAACGTCAGTTAATATTTAGTTTCATTTGTAAACCTAAAAAACTTCATTGTTTGGGAAAGGCTGACCTTCCTGTAACCCTGAGATCCAAGGATGAGAGGGACCCCAAAATTTACCAGCTTGGGTATACACCTTTATAGTTACACCTTTTCAACCAATTTATTTACTGCTTAGCTTGGTAGATGCAAACATTACACAGGCATTTCCAAAGACCCTCCCCCATTCTCCTCCAGCTCCTTTTGTTACAAAAAAACATTCTGATCAACAGCTGTAAGAGCTTTAGAAATCTGGCCTTTAAGTTTAAAAAAAAAAAAAAAAGTCTCTAATTCAGGGCTCCCCACGGCAAGAAATAACCCAGTGGAACAGGAATCTACATCCAAGGCATCTCTCCCTGTATGTGTCATTTCATTTTACATACACTTTCAAAACAGCCAGGAGTGTATGTAGCCAAACATCACAAAACAGGAATTCTAGCTTGGGATCTGTCTCCAGTTCCGTTCACTCAGACTCCACTTGCCAGAGGGAGAGAGGGGGTTGGCCCGGTCTTCCTTTAAGCTGCCTCTGATTTACTGCATTAGCTTCTAAGGAGGTAGACAGGGTAGTCTGTGTCAGCATAAAAAGAATGGTGTGCATGGCTTAAACTCCATGAGGGACAGCCGACACACCACGGACTGCGTTTAGACAGGCAAGAGTGGTGTCAATTATTTATTATCTGCGACATTGGGAACACACACTATTGCTCAAGGTCACCAAAACAAATGCGGGAGGGTTATGCTGAAAGGAGTATGCAACCTAGGCATTTTTGGTTTCAATAATTTGTTTCTTTTAAATTATAGCACAGCAATAATGTTACAGACACACCACAATGTACAATCTGAGTTTGCATAGTGTCCTTCAGATAAAACTGCATTATAGATAAGTAACCCAACTACTGACTCAAATAAGAACAAAAGGAAGAGCGAAAGGAACAGGCATAAGTAATGCAGAAAAGAAATGATGATTCAGTTGAGACCTGGAAGAAGGTGGTGTAGAGCTGAAGAGGCAGAGAGATACAAAGGCTGCTCCTGAGTGCAGAAGCTGTGGAGAAGAGTGGGTTCTCTCACAACACTAACGGGCTAACACTGAATGAGGTGGGACAGGAGAGGGCAGTGCTAGACTTGCAGAGGGAGTAGGAAGGGGAGTGGAGTGAGGCTAGTAAGCGGTTCAAAACCAGACAGGGAAAGTCTGAAGTGGAGCTTGAAAGGAAGAGGAGCCAGTGGAGTCTGTTGCAGCTGGGGGCAAAGAGGTCTCACACTGTTTGTATGGCATGGTGTGGGTCTGCATTCAGCACACAAGAGAGTTTGGAATCCTGAGACATGGGAGGCCAACACCACAATTCCTGCCCAGGAGAAACATCCAGAAAGTGAGCACGAGCATCAGACCTTTGGGTCCTCTGTTGGCAGCTGCAGAAACACATGCTCCCATGCAGATCACAAATGCGGGCAAAGGTATAGTGAGAAGAAAGCTGAATGTCAAAACCAGAGGCCTCTGGTCAGACAGAGAGGCCAAAAGGAAAGAGGCACAAAGAATTCTAAGCTAGCGTCAGCGACACAATAGCCACCCGGATCTCCCAAAATAAAGTTTTACATTTCCCAGCCAGGCAAGTATGCTCCCTATCTTGATTCTGCATTCAAGCTACTATTGCAGCTTAGCCCTGTCCACTGCTAAGGACACCTTGGAGTTACTGCTTCAGTGGGGTCCCAGCTACTGCACTTGCTGCAGCTTCACTTCTCTCTGTTAAACCTTTTCTAAAGTCTCTTTCTCTCAACACAGGCGATTTCCCAAGGGGCACTCAGTGACCTCTGTCACTTCTGGTCGTAATCTTTCTGTAGGTGAGGACACACTGTATTATCATTTCACCTTCGGTATCTGTTCTTAGCATGCCTATGGAATGAGAGCATTCAGCGTTATATCTTCCTTCCTGCTTTTATTATATTATATATAGGGGTGTGAGAGAGTGCACCCACTGAAAACTCACCTGTTGCCATCAAAACCTTCCAATGCCTGAGCAAACATTCTCAAGGTACAATCAGAAAAAGAGGAAGCCATAACAATGAGCCCAGATCCCCCCTCAAAACCCTCCCAACTACTCCCCTGATTAAAGGCTGCAGGATCTGGTGTGTCCATGCACATACAATATGTAAAGCACCTGGGTCTACTCTCTGCATTAAAGGGGACTTTATGAATTTAAGATTTAAATGATTACTGATTATCTGTGTATTACAAAGCCACAGATGCACATTCTCAAACTTGTGTTGATGTTGCTCAGCGTGGATGTTCTCCTTCAGAATTAAATGCGTGCTGAAGCAAAGCTGAATGCTCAGTTAGCTACCAGTTCTAAGGTGGAAGAACAATATTCAAATTTCATCTGGTCACTAGGAACCAAATCAATACGTTATTTTATATTTTTTTAAAGAGTCATATATCCTAATCTCCCTTCCTCCCTGTTCTATAGGCCTGGGGGATGAGTTCTCCAGTACAGAGCCTCTGCTTTTATATCTGACATATGTATTCCATTCTGGGATCCCTACAGTGATGCTGCCCTGGCTGCATTCCCAGGATCCCATGCTGCAGTATCTGGGTATGTTCTCTTCCTCCTCTCACTGCCCCCGAAGAATCTTTGGCCAGCGTGACTCTGTTGGCTGCGGAAACCTGAATGCCTTCAAGAAATGCGAGTGACAAGCCTCCAGTAAATTCTAGTGTCTTGGCTCTGCTTCACTGAAGAATAGGATCTGTGTTTGGGTTATTATGATGCCTTTACAATGTTACATTATGCACCACTCAGTTGAAGGGAATAAAAATTTCCATAAAGTTTTTATCCCTCATTGGTTAGCAACATTGCTCTGCCCACTGCCTGAACGCTAGCAAACCCTGCAGAGGCCATGATAAATAGTGAGGTAACGGCCAAATTTAATAAGGTCTTGCATTCTCTCTGAAATGCCACCAGAGAGCAGACAAAAGCATGTTTGCTGAGCTCACCAGGGAAAGCTGAGTGTTTGCACAGAGTACTTGGTATGCAGATGGCGTGGCTGGCTGCCTTTGGAAACTGGTGCAGAGCTGAAAGCAATGGGAAGGAGCTGAGGGGCAGAGCTCACCATGAAAACGCATTGGGGACAAGCTCCAGAGGAGGCCACTAGGTCAACGTGCCACCTCACCACCCTGCTTGGAGACTTCTTTTTTAAACTCAGCCTCTTGCTGCCTCTGCTGTGTGAGTGGACGTGGGTCTGCACAATTGCAAGAGGAGAGGAGACCTCTGAGAGACACAATCTGTCTCTATTAAGATGTGATTCACTCTCAGAAAAAGTTTGAGGACTCCTAAATTTATTTCATTATTAGGCATTGGACTGGGCTTGGCTATAATGCTGTGTATGTCTGGTCTGGGACAATGAGACGTTTCCCTTTTGCGATGACTAGGATTCTTTCTGGAGGACCCCGCTGGGTTTCAACAGTAGCATGGAATAGCCCCATCCCCTCAGGAAGCACTGATGAGAGAAAGGTCTCACTATGTCTTAGCACCAACTACTAGTGCCACCTAGTGACTCTTCTTTGTAACTGGCCAATATGTGAAGCTCCTACAGTTCAGGACCATTACATCTGAATTGAGAATGACAAAACGCACAAGCTTTGGGCATAGCAATTCAATTAACATTTCTGCAATGCTTCTGAAGACTTTTGTTTAATTCACAAAAAACACTTTCACTCCTGAAATATACAGATGAACATTATAACCCATGTTATTTACTGCAATCAATATTGAAAAACAAGGCACAATGAATCCTAAATACAATAATCTGGACATGAAGACAATATTGTGTATGCTAAACAGCCAAGCAACACATTTAAATAGGATTACCAGCATTTTCAGGACTGTTATGACACTGTTAAGTTACCCATTATGACAAGTATATGGACTGAAAATTAATTCAATAAAATAGCTAACATATTGAATTAAAATCAAAGGCAGGGTCCAGCTGATCCAGCAGTAAAAGCGCATGAGGACTGGGAAAAAAACATGATTCTGCTCATTTTATAGTTTACCCAAAAGGTTTTTTTTCTCCTTTTTCCACAAAAGGCAAAGTTGATTTTTTATCATCCTGTGAAAATGACAAAATTTTGTCTAGTGTCAAATGTGGGAAAACTTGCTATTTTCTCCAGGAGTAGAAATTCACCATTGTTTGTCATGATAAAATATGGTCATTGGCAGAAAAGGCAAAACCTCTGCCTGGATCAAACTTGGGAAAACTGATAGCTTTGCTCCACTCCGACATTGTGGTGGAACATGGACTTTAAGGTGTGTAGGCTATATTCAAAGGTATGTCTGTGAGGCACAGAAAGCTCTCTGCCAGTGTGATCCCCAACATTAATATTATAGTGGGAAAGGACTCACTGCAATACTGAGATGATCATATGAGAGACTCAACTGGGAACTTGGTAAACTGAGCGAAATTGATCCACCATCCAGTTTACTCTTACCTGTGCTGGACTTCAGTCGATTCTCAGCAAGCTCAGAAATTGCTCCTGTTGTAATGGTCTTCTTCAGTCTGGAGACCCCGGAAGCTGCTGTCACCCCTGGCTTTGTTAACATGTCATCGCTGCTAGCTCTTTTTAGCTACAAGAAAGAGAGAGATCTTGTGAGAAACCAGAAGAATGAGAGATCTGGTATGCCCATGAGCTAGATGATTTTACAGACATACAAGTTGAAAGAAAAAAGTGGTGACACACTTGGAGAAGGGAGTATTTCTGGAAAAGGAAACCCATAGAAATATTGCTTTTGGAACAGCAATCTGGAGTCATTTGTGAATATTCAGAAGAGGGGAATATCCTTCTCCCATACATTAGAGGGATTTTCCCAGCTTGGCACCAAGGAGGTCACTGCAGTGCAAGGACATATTTTCCTTTGGACCAAGACCCAGGACAACATCCTGCAGGCTGAGAAAGAAATGAGACTGATTAAATTTGACTCAGATACCAGGCCTAATGGAAACCACTGGCTACTCCCTATTCCTCTGGGGCAGCAGGCTCAGTGCATTCATGCATGTACTTGAAATTTATCTACTAGGTAGGATTATTGGTACCAAATTCAACAGCCTGCCATGGTGGGAAAAAGCATTTTTGTATTAATTCCTGCCTTTCAGTGAGGTGGACCAAGAGGCAATGTAGGTTTGATGATGCAGCCTATAGTGGGGGGTGAGGGAGGGAGAACTAAATAAGCAATGACTGAGGGGATGGGGTGAAAAATCCCCAGAGTCCCATTCAAAAGCTCCTGATCATCAGTCACTGCACTGGAGACTTCTCCCCAAGTTCTGGTTGGAGTTGCACTTGTTGAAACGTGTAGGCTTCTGAACATAAAGAAAACAAGCAACTGAGGAAACTGAGGCACAAAGCAGGCAAGGAACAATATAAAATAACTGGCATCTCAGTGCACCCCTATGCTACAAAAGGTACTAGGTCTTGGAAGGATCTGTTGCTCTCTATTTCTGTTTCAGCTGAGGCCATTTTACAAGGCCCTACTGTGCTCCAGCAGTGACCTCATATGCTGACCTGGGAGGGCCAGGCATTTCTAATGGAGAGTCTGTCTGCTCATTCCCATCTCTCTGCCAAGCAAGAATTGATGAAGTTAGCTGCATCATAAACTCTCCTTTGTGATATGAACAACGAGCCCACTAGGGACTGAGCCAAGACCCCAAACTCATTTAGCGGAGGACTGCAGGCTGCTTCATCAAAAGGAAAGAGCAGAGAACACAGAGTCTACTATCACAGTTACCAAAGGGAAATCCTTTATCTTAAGTCTGGCATCACTTCAGTTGTTTAGACCTTCAGGGGCTTTATTTACTGAACAGCAGTGAACAAAGCTAATCCAGGACAGTTTGGTAGGTGCTGGTGCTAGCATCACTGCTGGGAGGTGCAGGATTTGATTTTCAGTGTGAAAACGGAAGAATGTATCCAAGAGAGGGCATTTCGCTCTTCAGATCGCCAGAGGGAATCATTCACAGCACAGAAATGCACCAGCTCTCAGGTTTAGACAAAGAAGCTGCAGAAACCTCCAGATTATTATCCATCGAGCCCCACTGATTTGGTTCACAAACTTGGAAGAAGACAAGATACCTGCCCCAAGGCGTGAGCTAAGCAGGTACTTAAATGGAAGTGTGCTTGATGCACAGGAACTGGAAGCCTTGGTGTCCTGTAAAAAGCATAGCTAAGAGAGCATGAAGGGGGACCTTCTATTTAGAGGAAGAAGCAGATAATTGGTACCCAAGATGCTCAGGCAGTTCAGGACCCACTAAACTGAACTAATTACAGCTGCTCCTCAGGGGACACGTCTAGTGTGACTGCAGATTTGTCCCCTCCCAGGCATTCAAGAAAGCCCTTTGAGCATGCAGGATGTGGGAGGGGTTTGCAAACTCAGGACAAGTGACCTAGTTACAAGCCTGAAACCTAATGGTATATGTGGAGCTGCTGCATCATATTTGCTCAGGCATTCAAAAAACATACACTAGAATAAAGTTTTCCTACTTTAAAGTTTCCCAAAGTATGAAACAAACTTATGAATAAGGCTCTACTAGTACAGTGACTCCGTATACAAACTGTATTCAGTAACATGAACATTTTTTCTGAGAGAGGAAATGTTAGGCAGGACAGCAAATTTATGTCCATAGGACTTCCAATTGGACAACCCACCCAAAGCTGACAAAAAAGATCCTGCTTTAATTTGTCAGAGATTGGCGCTGCTAATGACGCAGCACCTCCTCTTCCAGGACTGCACTGCAGTGTCAGCACTGGGGTTGAGCCAAAGTCCCGGTGTGACATTTGAACCAGGACTTCCAGCCACACGGCAAGGTGCCAACCTGACCTACTACAGGGCACTAGACACAGAAATATAAGAGATATTCAAGCATATATTTGATTGTAGTTTTTATTGGTTGAATTTCCACTAGCCAGCTCACCACTATGTATGTTCATATTCCAAAATCTAACACGGGCTGCTAACACCAGAGTTTAGTCAGTAAACTTCACTGCACCTGAAAAAACAAGACTGATTTTTTTTCCCCTGGTAATCCAAGTTCATTCTAGAGTCGTATTCAGGAAATTCATGCAAATCTGAAAGACCAAAAAAACATATGCTTCACAAGGAAAACATTGAAATGATGTTGGCTTAAACCAGCATAAGGAGGAGTCCATCTCAGAACCCACACCAGTTGCTTTTCCCTTTTTGTGCACTTCCACAGCTCAGACTAAGAGAGAGAAGCCTTTTAAGAGTCTTAAAAATCAAAGGCGTTGTAGCATCTCTCTAGACTAGAGCGAGATGTTGGTGGATAGAAAAGAGATGAGAAGGGAGATTATATTACAAATACATGCCATGGTTAGTGGGTTCCTGAATTGTAATTTTTTTTAAGCAAGATCAAATCTCTCTTAGCTCCAATTTTCTTCTCTCTTTAATCTCTTCATCTGACTCAGTCTGTGGTTTCCCAGACTCTGGGAGCATGTGAGCTTTGATAGCCAAAGCGTTGATCTACTGCAGGAAACCAGACCTCAGAAGTTTTGCATTTTGGCAGGGCCTTTGCCAGTTCATTCCTCAGAGCAAGACAGAACAATCTGACTTTCTGACCTCTGGAGAAGTCTCCATCCAGTTTCTCTACAGCAGCTTTTACCAAGTTCACCACCTTTCACAGTGCCAAGTGCACCTCACTGCCCAGTCTGTCTTTCCACAGCCCCTCCCTAACTTTTCCCTTTGATCATATTTTGTTTGTACCGTAGTTGCTCAGCAGCTTAGAGATCACTGAGGCAGCTAGAAAGAAAACACCATGTTCTTTAAAAGATGTACAATGAAACGTATCAGGTTCCCTTGCCTTCCTGCCCCCATATACCTCTACAACAGTCGCTCAGAAGTGGCAGCACAGCACCACACCTTAAAGGAAGGACCTTATCATGAAAAAGATTGGCTGGAGCCCTGGGCTGAAAGTGTCTCACTTCTGAGATGCTTAGAGTTGTAGGAGTCTGTAAAGTGGGTATAATATATGGACCCATTGCACTGGAGGCAGCAAGGGTTAATAAGTGTTTGTAAGACTCTTTGAACATTCGCGCTGTAGAACACTATGTATTGTTAATCAATCCTTATTGTTGAAAACAAAATCAGTCTCAGTTCCCAAATTCCTATTTCTTTTTTTTTAATACTTAGACCATATTGCTCTCTTTGTTCAGGGTCTGCCAGAACACAGATGCAGCATTATGCTAGGTTTGGAATTTTCAATAAAATGGAAAATAAAATTATTTTCATGTGTATTTCTGGTCTTATTAAAAATATATATAAAAAGATGAGTATCATAAACTGTAAATGTTCTATCACAAACAATACTTTTGCTATGTACCTTGCCTTTCCAAAGGGGCTGGGGGAAAAAAACACAGATTATAGGACACAAGATTACCTCACTACCCTTAAAAAAAAAACAAAAAACCACGACAACAAAACCTCTTTTTTGGGAAAATAAATTCTAAACCCTAAAATCAACCTCCACTTCTACCAATTTAGTGCAATCCTGTCCAATCTAATCCAATCCACACCCACCCATCCACAGAGTACAATTTGATCCACACATACTTTGTGCAGACTAATCCTTCACTCACAACACACATAATATATTGTGACAAAGCTCTGTCCTTGTCTCCGTGGGTCCGCGTTTCCTGGCAGATTTTGCTAGCCTCAGAGGCTCACTGTGACCCTCCACGTAACCCTTCTCGCTCTCTCTCTCTCGACAAGGGTCACAGTCTACTGAGCCATTTTCATCATAAGCCAGCAAGGGAGGTGAGGAGAAGCTATCCTCCCTTGCACAGTCTCTGTTGTCTCCCAGGCTCAGTGATTAATTGGGGGGGAGGCAAAGGGGGGAGCCCGGGCCCTCCCTCTACTCTGGGCTCCAGCCCAGGGACCCTAATAGTATCAGCTATGGTAGCTGACCTTTTAGAAGCCTGACACGTACAATTCCCTGGGCTACTTCCCCACAGCAGCTCCCACTTCCTCAAGTTCCACTTCACCCTTACCTTAGGGCCTCCTTCCTTGTGCCTCATATGGCGTGTACTGCTCAGTCTCTCCAACAGCGCAACTTCCTCCCACAGCTCCTGACATCCACATGCACCTGACCAACTGGGAGGCTTTTAACTAGTTTCAGCCAGTCCCTGATTGGCTTCAGGTGTTCCAATCAACCTAGCATTCTCCCTGCCTTCTGGAAAGTTCTTAATTGGCCCCAGGTGTCTTAACTGACCTGGAGCAGCTGCCATTTAACTTATCCTGGTACCAGGGATTTGTTTAGCCTGGAGCTAATATACCTATCTCCCACTAGTTTTCTATAGCCATATGGCCTTTCCCTGTCACAATATCCAATGCATGCACTATACACACCACAGTCCAGTCCAAACCACCCACGCATCCACACACGGTCAAATTCCCTTCTTCAACCCCACCACACTAACACTCATACTCTACAAGCACAAACCAACCAGTCAACACACAGAGACAAATCTGGAATGACTATCCCAAAACATACAATCTGGTCAAATGTATACAGACACTGTGGTATAATATGCACACAGTAGAGTCTGATCCAGACATACACACCCAGTGCCAAAGCCCTGAACACTTGGTGATATGCCCTGCCTTAGCTGGAGTGATAGCTTGGCATCAGTTTGGAATGCTTTCACACTGCTTACTGGTTAGTACCTTGCTAAGTCGAGATTCAAAAGCAAGTGAAGTAGAGGATTTGGAGGTCTTCATGCCTGAGGAAGCAGCGGGGAGAGATTTTCCTCGGTCAATCCCATGGTTCCCTTGCTTTGCCATTGCACTCCAAGGTCTGGCAGCACTCTTCATTTTCTTTCCAGAGGAGTCAGTCTGCAGAATATCAGAAAGGAAAGCAGATATTAATGTTTTTAAAGCATTTGGAATACAAAAAGAGAATGGATACTGCAGTGCTGGGTGCACAGGAATAGATTATATAGCGATTGGTCAGTAGAGACCCAATGGCTCTTCAGTGGCTGCTCTATGTTAGATAAGATAGTAGCCAGGTTTTCAGTTCAGTACCTAGTAGACTGGTGTCTATGTCATACAAACTACATTCTTGTTAGCCTTGGAGAGGGCAAAGACTGAATGAGCCTTAGAGACCGACCTCTCTTCTCATCCTAAAACGGGGCCTCCAGCTCAGGGTTGAAGCACAATGCATGAATAATCTGGGGGTGAATTACTGCTAATTCTTGCCCTGTACCAGTCCTGAGGATAAAGAGAGGACTCAGTGTCAGACTGTCAATCCAGCATCTTCTTCTTGAACTATGATTACATTAAAATATATTATATTCAAAACAGGATCCTGAGACACACACACAAGCTTTCCTCCCACTATTCATTTATTTTTGATAATCCCTCAGTACCACAAATCAACCATACTGTCTCTTTAACTGATCAAACCTGCCTAGAGCTGCGGTAGTTGATGTTGCTACGGTGATGAAATGATTGTTCCATTGTATTTCCATAAAAGAAACACAGTAAAAAGGTAACAGTTAACTTCTCTGCAAAGAGAAAGAAAAGGAGCTGCATTCAGTCTAGAATTTCCCAGATACGAACTTATGAAGGAAGCAAATCCTGCCAGGATTTGGAGAACAGAAATGAATTTCTCTTCCTGGATGTGCCAGCAAGCACATTTTGTCAATTTCCCTCAGTTGGTGGTTTGTTGCCAGCTAAATGGCTGGCTTGACTCTTTGAGCAGATCTGTGTCCCTGACTTTTCATCATCCATTCCCCAGTTTGCACTAGCAACAGCACCATCATTTGGGTCTTATAAATCTGCCAGCCATTGTTGGGGGAAAAAATCACAGATGGCTCTCTTCTTCTTCTTCTGGTCTTCAGTCTTGTTTTCTAAAACAAATAGGATGTAGTTGCATGCAACTCTTGTGCAGGCAGTTTGTGTTGTGTTTGCCAAACAGGTGTCCAGAAACTACAGGAGACCAGTAGAGAGGCTCCTCTTGGGAGGGTGTGTGGGAGATGGACTACTGCATTTGATCACAGAAGAGGCTAAACCAAGTCTCTTGTGGTCATAGGCAGCAGCTCTACCAGATGAGCAAAAATGTGGCCTCCCCTAGCTAAGCCAGTAAGAGCCACGGTGAGAAGGGTGAGAAGGACTCGGACTTTGCAGGTCTCACAATTTGCTTTGTGCATTGTTCTGGTGAAGTGTTCTTGTTAATGAGTGTGGACCCCTGGGAAGAAATCTATTCAGGGCCTAATTACATTCTGTGCTAATGACACCTTCCAGGTATTAGGGATGTTCTATTTAAAGGGCATGCAGGTGCAAGAGTGTTCTAGGCTCTCTTTTGCTGCTGTTTTAGGGCAAAGCAAGCAATAATTCCCCTCCTTATAGCATCATGACTTTTCCTTGCGGATGTTGGAAAAAATCAATTTTTTGCACGGCTCTAACCTCACAGCTACTAATAGCAACTGAGCAACTCCTCTTTTTAATTCTGTGCAGTCACCAATTCCATCAGGAGTTCCAACACATACCGTGAGCACCCAAGAGCGGATTTCAGCGGAGGAGAAAATTATCTATTTATTCCACGACTATTACTGTGCTGCATACACCTGACATTTTTTAACGCAGTAGTGAATATTTAACTATGAAGCAATACAATAAATGCTATTCTTAAGTCCCATGGTTTCAGAGTACCATTAACAGGATTTTAGTGTTTCATATGTATTTAATGGGCATTTTAAAAAAATATATGGATGTACGGTACCCCACATTTACACATACAAATCAGGCAATTGCACATACAAGTAGCCTTGCTGAAGAGATTACCAGACTTATACAAACATAGGTTTTGTGGATGCCATAACTGCACATGCATTTTTCCAACTGTTGCCTTGGGACTTCTTCCTGGTTCTATCCCAGCACCCTCCGCCCTGCCTTGTGATGCTCCTCTCTGGTCTATGTGGTTTGAGGGGATTCCATCTGGAGTCAATGAGCACATTTTAAAAGTGCCTGGAGAGTGTTGTGTCCTTTGGACAGCCATGTCAGAAGGAAGAAAAGCAGGAGCTGGAGCAAGCCTCAGTGAAAGCAACTACAATTTGAGTGGCAGTTCCTCTAAACTTCCCTCCTAACCAGTAGCAGTTTAGATACTTGACTTAAGCCAGATTGGACATGTAGGAATGTAAGGAAATAGACTTGAAAAGACATTCCTTTTGCAGCTGTATGAACTTTTCACCACATCAAGCAAGTGAAACCAAGGATTGAGTCCATTTTGTTCCAACTTTTCAGTGGTCGATAAATTTCAGAATCTGTCTAGATGGGACCCTGTGTGGGGAAAATCGGATATTATTGCACTATCAATCAATGCTGAGCGGGTTGAGGGAAACAGGGCTATCGTCTTTCTCTATTTCTAAAGAAGTTAGAGTTTCTGAGCTGCAGCTAAAACACACAAGTAGAGATTATTTAGTCATGTTGATCCTGAGGCCCTTCTTGATTTAGGAAGGAAACTAGAGGCCTGTGCAGAACTATCACTAAGAACGTGCAATAGAAGCGGCAGGCGAATAATCCATCAAGCAGATTCCATATGCACAGAGATCTTAGTCAACTATAACTATGCCTTTGAGCAGGGATGGACTGAACTTGTTTACCTATGCACCACGAATGGAGTCTGTAAAGTTAGGTTCCAGGTTTCGATCACGTCAGCTGCAGAATACATTTTGGAATCTTTCTGTGTGTGCAGCAATTGATTGAAACATCTGCTTTTGCATGGGGGAATTCTGAAGTTCCTCTTTCTGCAGAACCAGCACCAAAATTACCATTAGAACACTGCAGTTACTAGACCCAAAAGGAGTAAAGCACATAAACATTTGGACAGATGAAGGACTGGATGGCACCAAATTATTGGGAAGGGGATCTGAGCCTTTCACTTGTAGGTTACAGGCTCAAATCCAACCCAGGTCAGTAGCATATAGCAATCAACACTTGAAACAATTCAATATCAGTTTGGTGGACTATACAACGTGGACTGGTTGTTTCAGCTCAGTGGCTAAAGTTCCACATCACAAAAGCCACCAGGATACTTTGCAGCAGCTAACAGAGAAGCCAAAAATTAAATAGGTTCCCATTGACTGTTTCTCCAGAGCAGGCAAGAGATACTTGGCAAGGCCCAGCCTAGGTGTAGCTTGTCCTATCCAACCTGAACCTATGCTGTGGGTAAAGAGGATTTCAGTCTCTTGGGTGTCAATCCAACATCTTCCACAAGCCTTAAACTCACTTGAAAGAGCAAAGCCCATTGCACACGTCCTTCTCATCTTAATTTGCTTTCACTCCTGCATGACACAAGTTGGAGATTTTAAGGGAACTGCTTGAAGAACAGCCCAAAATAACAAATTACCAAAAAACAGAACAGAAAAGCCCCACTGTTCCCTGGTCTGGGCAGGAAACCTTTCTTAAGAGTCAACATCAGCCTTTCATTTCCTCCAAGAGCAACCTTCTGAGTCAGAGTGAAAATGCTCCCCTGAAAAGTTTGGACAGCAGGAACACTGGGAAACCTGAAGGAGATAATGAGCCATTCCATGCTGCTCATTTGCCTGCAATGAATGGCAAAGCAGGTCACTAGAATTAGGTACACACTGTAGCTGCAACCTGTCAGCATTCAGGAAACAGAATATTAATGTGAAAAGGTTACTGCCGCTAGTACTCCCCCTCCAAAGGGGATAACAGGATGGGCAAGGACAGCCTGTACTGCGATGGCTCTATTAATGGTGCAATAGGACCCCAGAAAGGTTTTACATACCAGCTTTGGAAACATAAATTGAGACATTGCATGTTCCTTGAATGTGAGATGCATAACCTACAGCAGAGCAGAAGTGCAATGTGGCAAATCTGGGCACTCCTAGGCCTCAAAATGGTAGACCTAGGGTGTGACACACAATTAAATATAATTATCTAGAGGAGGGTAGTTGTTAAATCATAGATCTTCTACTAGCGTCTGTGCGCTGGCACATACCTTAGAAAAACCTATTTAGCCAGCCTTCCCTGACCAAAGGCCCTTTGGCCATCAAGAGTGAGAGGTTACAGCCAGAATAAGGGGAACCATTATCCAGGAGCCCCAAATCCTGAATTTGTGTTATAGATAAATAATCAGGAGTCACAACACATTTAAAAACCATTTTAAAATATGAGAAGATAAAAGAAGAAATTCTATACAGTACAGACAGGGGTTTGAAATTGTACTGAAAAACAAGAAAGAAAAGATGAGGGATTCACAGTGTCCCTAAATATAAACTACTGACACTAGGGAAAGGCTGTATTGTCTTGAGAGGATCAGGCAGAAGGGTGGAATTGAAACTTTGCAGTGTCTTCCTGTTCCAAACACTGAACCAAGTCACCAGCTTGTCAAAAAGCAATACAACCATTAAATGGCAGAGTCTGCCTTTTTGATGTGGCTTTGGGTCAGAAGCGGAGAACTAGGAGTTGGTAGATGTGAACTAAAGGCAACTTTTACCATCCCTCCTTAGCTAGTATCTACAATGTAAAGGCCAGCACACTGCAATCTCATTGTACTACCAAGGCAGGCCTAGCTTTTTACAGGAAACTAGGTAGTCTGGTTAAGAGGTTAAAACATGAGACAGTCAGAAAACATGGCTTCTAGTTTCACCTCTGCCAGGGATTTGCTGTATAACTTTGGGCAAAAAACTCACCTTGTGTATTTCCCTGGATAATAATACTTATCCACCTTTTATTTCCTCTGGTGAAAAGTACTATATACATGCAAATGATTAATAGTAATTTACCGGAGGAGATTTTGTTCAACACCTATTTGTGCACAAGGAGCTAAGCCATGTGTTTCTGTGTCTGGGAAGATAAGCTCTCTACAG